AAGGATAGCTTTCTTAAAATAATCAATAACCCCAAAACCCCAAAACCCCATCGATCTAATATCATTCGCAATTAGGACTATTATATCTATTTAGATATTAATTAAATATGCAGGCAACTTTAAACAGGGAAGCATTTGAAAGAAAGATATCACAAGTTTATGACTTGATCGAAGTAGGTGATATGAAGAAAGCTATGCGTTAGGTAAACACGCTACTTGACAAGGGAGGCAATAAAATGCACAAAGTAGAGAGACTTTACTATAGAATCGTCAAATGCTATGTGCTAGATAAATGCAATCGAAGACTAGAAGCTCTTTCAGATGTAGATGAGATAGTCAAAGAGATTCTTGATAGCAAGGTCAATGATATTCCTCTACTTGAATAAGCAGATACGATTATGCAAGAGATTGGATGCTATGAAAAGTTACTGGTACTAAGGGAGAAATTGCAATAAATGAACCCTAATGATAAGCAAACTGCCATCAAGCTATTCACACAATACACATTCATGAATGAGTATTAGAAAATGAGTGGTATGGCTAACAAGATAGCGATGTCTTTCTAAGAAAAAGAATTCGGACTCTACTCTGTTTAGGCACTCTACATGCTTTCATAAACTAAGAATTCGTTGCCTATGAATATAGATTTAGCTTTGGCATTTATTGAGAAGCAAAGACAAACTAATTATAAAGATGAGAACAAGCCACTTCCTCAATACTTTGTAACACTCTATAGCAAGATATTAGTGGCAAAGGGTAAATATGAACAGGCTTTAGAATATCTTAAGGAAAACGAGCAATCATTTGGCATGATTCTTGACTAGAAAAGATTGATATATTCACTTAAGTACAAATAAGGTGATATTGAGGGAGTTATTCAGGAGTTGACATAAATTATCAAGAGCAACTACAACAATGTGAATGAGTTTTAAAGCATTTATGATCATCATGAATTCCTTATCAGTTTAATAGTCAACTAACTGAAGAAATAAAGTTCTACTATCATAGATTAAGCCTTCGTTGAATCTCTAGATTAATAAAACATACCAGAGGATGGCTAATAATTCCAGCCTTTCGATTTTAATAATGCTCTTGACTCTTTGAGACATTTATATGCTTCCTTTAAGAAATACGAATCACTCGATTTAGATAATAAAACCACAAATTATCACAACTGCAGAAAGTCAAGCATACTATCTCAGCTTTTACTAAAGAACAAACTCATATTAAGTTTATTTAGTGATTAAAATGAGATCAATCAATTCATTGAAGAGGGTATTCAATCTTATAGAACTTTGATAATTCAGTATGCATTAAGATATCTTGAGTTGAACTCCATGGCATTTGATCTATACCCATTCATTCCCATTCTGAATGAATAAATAAGACGTGATATCTTAGATGTGCTAAGAAATCATTTGGAATCAGTTGAAAATCCTTAGAAAAATGCTAGATGCACAATCAATCTTCACAAAGTTAAGAAGGTATTTGGCTTGTTTGGGGAAGATTAAGAAAGCTTAATGTGGCTGGCAACTTAAATGCAGACTGAGTACTTCAAATTTATCTAGCAAGATGGAGCACCAGAGAAAGGTGAAAGGAAGCTAGCAGATGACTAAGTCATAATAATGAATGAAGTACTTGGAGTTGCTTAGTCAAAAGATAGTATCGATGCACTGGTACTTTACAGAATAGCTATACTAGAGTATGCTTTAGAAATAAGTCCCTACAACTTTGATATCTCGCTGGCTTTGCTTAAGATTTACGATACTTACGGACTCTCAACGTCCTTTAACTAGATCTTTCAAAGTTTGGGAGTAAAAGGAGTGTAGTTAGAATCTCTAGGATTCCTAGCATTAAGGCACTCAATAGACTGGCAGGAACAGAACATATTCAAGTCCTTTTTGCTTAAATACAACAAGTATTCTAAGATGAACTCTCTTAATTTGAAGCAGAGCAAGATGAAGGCTCTGACTGACTTGAATTTCGATCAAATAGAGAATTTCGTGGAGTATGAAGACTACTTGAACAACTCGTACTTCAGTCAGATGGTGAGGAGTTTCAACAACATCAATGAATTCAGTGAAAACATCAAGACCCAGCAAGAATTTGCCAAAGGGTTCTTTGAAAATATCAGTGAGCAACTGGCTAATGAGAATAAACAAGTGGCTGAGTTTGAAAACCAAAATTTGAACAGAAAGAGAAGAACTCAAGATCTCAAGATAGTCATGCATCAATATGATAAAGTTCAGTAATTCAAGCATTTCAGAAATTCAGAACAGTAATGGCAGTCTGAATTTCAAAAAGACATGATTCTAAGAGAAATAACTTAGAATGACAAGTTGTATTCTTTCTACAAATATGATAGAAAATCAAACTACAAGTAAAACCTACACAATTCTTTAGGTTTCCTGGAACTTCCCGAGACCTTTGCTATCTTGCATTCACTTATGACTCTCCTAAGTTAAATTTAAATTACAAAAGCTGGAGCCGAAGTGGTAGGCTTAATTAACAAATTTTAAATGCAATTTGAAGTATATCAAAAGCAAATGATTGAGCTTGATATCGAGACTAGAGAAGATATCACTCCAAGATACTCAGAGATGCTGAAGGAATTCAACACTGTAATAGGTGGAGTAGTAGTTAACACACTTGAAGTAGTTAAGAGATTTAGTCAGATTGAGAAGAGAGAAGGATAGTCTGGGGAAGAAACAGCTTAGAAGATCTTGACTGTCAAAGAGTAATGTTAGAATTTAGCGTCTCAATTGACTCTCAAGACTAGCTAAGATCAAAGATCTTTGTTCTTACAAGTAATGCTAGGATCTACTTTCATTCCTCTCACATTAGACCTATTATCAGAAACCTTAAAATCACTGCTACCATCATCTAAGAAAAAGAAGAAGTCAGAGGGTCCTACTTCCCTTGATGAAGTTCAAACTCACATATTAAATCCCTTAAAGCAAGCTATCAAAGACCTTAGTGCTTACTTCCAGAGCCCAGCATTCATTAATATCGAATCAGACTACATTGCTAAGCGAGAGGCACACCTGCACTCACTTATCTCTGAACAGAGTAATCATTATATCAAAGAGCTATTAACTCAAGAGAGTCTAGCCACAATTATTAAGAGAAAGATATTAGAGATTGCAAAAGAAGAGAAACTGCAAAAAGAGAGACGTAGAGACTAGTCATTGCTGGTTAGCAAGAGATTGAAGGATATTACTTCCACTGGTGTCTTTTAATGATTGTTAATTAAGATAGTAGACAAAGATAAAAATTTGCTTTTTATTAGAATTTTACTTCTCTTATATTATCAGACTGAATGCATATTTATCATATGGGGTTTTGGGGTTTTGGGGTTTTGGGG